ACCGTCATACAGGTAATACACCGTCACTACACCTCGTACACTACACCTCCTACAGGTAATACACCATCACTACACCTCCTACAGGTAATACACCATCACTACACCTCCTACAGTACCTACTACACCTCCTACAGTAATACACCTCACTACCAGGTAATACACCTCCTACAGGTAATACACCGTCACTACACCTCCTACAGGTAATACACCTCCTACAGGTAATACACCGTCACTACACCTCATACAGGTAATACACCGTCACTACACCTCCTACAGGTAATACACCGTCACTACACCTCCTACAGGTAATACACCGTCACTACACCTCCTACAGGTAATACACCGTCACTACACCTCCTAATACACCGTCACTACACCTCTTACAGGTATTACACCATCACTACACCTCCTACAGGTAATACACCATCACTACACCTCCTACAGGTATTAATACACCGTCACTACACCTCCTACAGGTAATACACCATCACTACACCTTCTACAGGTAATACACCGTCACTACACCTCCTACAGGTAATACACCATCACTACACCTCCTACAGGTAATACACCATCACTACACCTCCTATAGGTATTAATGCACCTCCTACAGGTAATACACCGTCACTACACGTCCTACATGTATTAATACACCGTCACTAGACCTCCTACAGGTAATACACCATCACTACACCTCCTACAGGTAATACACCATCACTACACCTCCTACAGGTATTAATACCACACTCCTACAGGTAATGCACCGTCACTACACCTCCTACAGGTAATACACCGTCACTACACCTCCTACAGGTATTACACCATCACTACACCTCCTACAGGTAATACACCGTCACTACACCTCCTACAGGTAATACACCGTCACTACATCTCCTAGTTCATTTATTCGATTAAATGTCACAAAAAAACAGCAAAACACATGCTTACAAAATATCTGCAGAGAAGCTTTGTAAAATGTCATATTTAGTAATTATATAATATGTAATTATTATTTTTACACATTTATTAGGATTTTCACCACGTATGCACTTCCTTGAACTGATCAAACTACCCCAACAAATATTATATATATATATATATATATTGTGATACATTTTCTAATTTAAACCCCAGAAAATCCTACATTTACATAAAGAATATGTATTTATTTCTTTATTAACGTTTGCATATTTAAAAATTATATTAATAACGTTTTTGATTAATATAAGTTGATTTTATGGTGACTCTGAGATAAGTATCCAGGGCAGTTAAATTACAGCAATGATGATTAACATGTGCTCTTCCTGTTAGCTACTAATAATTGAAGAAAGAAAACAAAATATTTAGTTTTAAATCTTGTGTTTTTTAGTGACTACGTGATCGAGGAGAAGACGGCGGTGCTGCAGAAGAGAGAGATCGAGGGATTCGGATTCGTCCTCCGAGGAGCGAAAGGTGGGAAGGAAGGAGGGAGAGGAAGGAAAGGAGGGGGAGGAAGAAGATAAGAGATGAAGGAGGGAGAGAGATGGGGTGTTTAAATCTTTAGAGCCCTAAAACCCCTCGTTGTGTCATTTCTTAATAAACTACAAATCCACATTTTAATTCAATTTAATTTCTAATATAAACATGTTTTTGAAGCGGAGACGCCCATCGAGGAGTTCGCGCCTACCCCAGCGTTCCCGGCGCTCCAGTACCTGGAGTCGGTGGATCAGGGGGGCGTCGCCTGGAGGGCGGGGCTTAGAACCGGAGACTTCCTCATAGAGGTAATCATTAGATCTCTCAAACAGGTATGGTGCGTTTTAGTGGCGTTAGCCTACATTTAAATGAATGAGAGAGGCAGGTCAAATTGCGTGGAAAAAGTTCTTATAAAAAAACATGGATATTAAAGTTAAAGAACATTTAAGAGGAATACATTAGAATATTTTATTAAACAAAGCAGTAAAAGCATTCATATTCTTTGAGATTAAAGTTTTACATTTGAAGTTATGTTTAAAAACTTCACACAGGGTTCTTACGGTCATTAAAAACCTGGAAAAATCATGGAAATTCAAAACGCTAATTCCAGGCCCTGGAAAAGTTATGGAAAACAATATTTTTCCCAAATGTTTGGGAAAGTCCTGGAAATGTAACTAAAGTTGCATAATATATCATTTATATTTCATCCAATCACCAAAATAGTAATACTATAATGATAATAAATACTGTATCATATAGTAATGAAACGTTAAATGGCATTTAACTGTCGAGGTGTTTTGCTGGTGAGAGATTTCAGTTGCGTTAGCGTGTAGAAGCTAGTAAGCCTATTGGATTTGTTTCAGATAGGCACAACATGTTTCATTATGCAGACCTTATTTTCCTGTTCCATGTTCAAATAAACCATTTTCAGTGGTACCGCTGAGAAAGAGTCATTTTTTTGGTCATGGAAAATTAGGTAAAGGTCCTGGAGAAGTCATTGAACAGTCATGGAAAATCATTTGTGAAAAAAAAGTTTGTGAACCCTGAGTATTGCTAAGCTTTGTATAGTTGCAACATCTACATTTATATTTTTACATCCTTACATTTTACAGTTTTTATTCAACTGTACAGTTATTCATTCATGTTTTATTTAAAAAAAATTATTTGCATTTTAAGAAATTATTCACACAGCATACATAACAAAATAAACACATCTAGATATACACGTTAACTACATAACAGTTGACAAATCCGAAATAAATAATAATAATAATAATAATAATACATGCTATTTTTGTATAGCGCTTTTCCTGGTGCTCAAAGCGCTCATAGTATACGTTTTAGGGAAAAAATATAGGCCCATCAACTGATAAACTACAGGGTGCTTACGGTCATTCAAAACCTGGAAAAGTCATGGAAATTCAAAATGCTAATTCCAGGTCCTGGAAAAGTTATGGAAAACAATATTTTCCCCAAAGTTTTGGAAAAGTCATGGAAATGTAACTAAAGTTGCATCAAATATAATTTGTATTTTATCCAATCGCCAAAATAGTAATACTGTAATGATAATAAATACTGTATCGTAATGAAACATAAAATGGCATTTAACTGTCGAGGTGTTTTGCTGGTGTGAGATTTGAGTTGCTTTAGCGTGTAGAAGCTAGTAAGCCTATTTGATTTGTTTTAGATAGGCACAACATGTTTCATTTGCAGACCTTATTTTCCTGTTCCATGTTCAAATAAACCATTTTCAGTGGTACGCTGAGAAAGAGTAATTGTTTGGTCATGGAAAATTAGGTAAAGGTCCTGGAGAAGTCATGGAAAATCATTGGTGAAAAACTATCTGCCCCAGAAATCTAGAATCAATCAAATTTGAGCACATTTACTGTAAGAGAGAAGCTAAATCTCCCACACCCTGAACGCACCATGCCCTATACAGGTGTAATAGTTAACTCCTCACCATGGGTTGTATAATCTTATCTACAGTATGGACAGAGGCAGTCAACAGGTTTGATTCATTGACCACCGGAGCCCGTGAGAAAACAAACTGAGGTTTCTTTTCCCCGTCACTTTGCATAATTAATTACCCCGGTGTCGTCACCAAACTTTGCCTTTTGCTGGGAACGCTGTGAGATTTCACCGTTGTGTTCACCGTCTAATTCCCAGATTCTCCTCTTGCCTTTTCCTCTTCCTGGAATGTGCCATTCTCCCATGAATGGGAGGGGTGTTGCCTTTTTTTTTTTTACTGCTGACAGCATATATGTCAGCTCATTACAATGAGAATCGCACAGACCCAACGTAAACAAACCAGCAACGAGTCGTTGGAGGAACGATGAAAAATCAGCGGGGGGGGGTCAATGATTAAGCCCACGACTCAAGAACAGTTCCCCCTTTTCTTCTAACATTGATGTGTCATGTGTTAATGTGTGCAGAGGCGCTGACGGATGAGGAGAGATCAGGCCATTGTGAGGCTTGAACTGTCTTTGGAGAATCTCCTGTTTCTCACAGCAGTTTCTGAAAGACAGTCAGTCACAAATCATGTCCACTTACATGTACACATACCTAATGAGTTATAATCAAGCGTAGCATGGCACAAATAAACTATGTTCCCTTGTTCTTGTTCATGTTTGTTTTCCTCTTGATTTGCCCCTTCTTCGTTGTCTTGTGAGTTCGAACTGCAACAACAACAACAAGGACAACTGATTGCTTAATCCAATTGACAAAAACAAATAATTACATTACATGTCATTTTTTAGACCAGGGGTGTCAAACTCAATTTCATCTCGGGCCACATTGGCATTATGATCGCACTCAAAGGGCCAGTTTCATATACAAGAATATAAAAAATACATATATAAAAATGTAATATATATAAAATAATGTATTGGATTATTATCGGATAGAGTAACTTAATAAGTCTCTTCAGTGAGAATGTCACAAAATGATTTTAAAAGAAAAGCCAAATTCTGGAAAAAAAAAAAAAAAAAAAAATGACATTTTGAAAAAGACGTCAGATTCTGAGAAAAATGCAAATTCTAAGAAAAATGAATATTTTGAAGAAAAAAAGTCAA